ACCATATTGGCCAAGCTGGTCTCAAACTCCTGACCTCAGTTGAACTGCCTGCCTTGGCCTCCCAAAGTCCTAGGATTACAGGCATGAGCCACCACACCCCCAGAATGTTCCATTTTTTGTAAGACATCTACACCTGGGGACTTACAAAAAGCCCCTCAATTCAGTAAGGTCAAAATATAACTTACTTTTTTGCCCATAAAATAGGTTTTGCGTTCCATTCTCTTGCAGTTCATCCAATCGCACACCGTCTGCCAGTTCATCCACCCTAAGAGTTGAGCCTGCCTTAATCCCCACATCTAGCCACAAGGCCCTCAAAATCTTCCTTGTCTCTCACCCTCTGCCTCCTCCAGGCCCCCTTCACATCTCATACCTGGACTAGTGCAGTTGTTTCCTAACTGCGTGCCCTGCTCCATCTGTTTTCCCTTTCATCTGACTCATTTTTCAAAAACCCACACATGTGTCATCATGTCACTTCCATGCTTTAATTAAGTGTTCCTGACGCCAGATAATACTAGGCTTATGGAAAGTTTGAATTGATATGAAGGAAATACCTATGTATAATCCAACAAAACAGGATACAGAGTGACCATACATTATGCGATCAAGTATGTTTTTTCAAACAGCTCAGAAAAACAAGCCAGAATATTAAATATCTAAGCAATTCTCACTAGTAGAATTATGGGTGTAGTTTTTTTTGTGTGTATGCTTTGCCAATTTTCCTATTTTTCAATGAAAATTGTAAACTCTTAGCAACTTAAAAGGTTTTAAAAACCTTTTAAGATTTTTACACTTTTTAAAAAAAAATCTCTAATGTTTTCAGGAAAAAAATATTTACATTCTTAACAGGTATTCAAAAGCCCACTGCAGTCTGTTCTTAGCTTACTCTTTTAAATCTAGCCTTCCACTTCTATATTCATTTTGCTAGCCATTCTGACCTCTGATTATACGGTTAGAAATAGTTCCCCAAATGCAGCATCTACTCTCTTGCCTCTGCTCATTGCTCACACTTTCACTCATCCCCATCCCAGTGTATCTTTGATCACCTAGCAATTTCCCACCTTTGCCTCAAGCCTACTTCAACTGGTTCTCAGCAGCCTGGTCCTCAACTAGTACTCCTGGGCACAACTGTTTCTTCATCTGCATTCCCCCCCACCCTTTTTTTTTTTCTTTTGAGACAAGGCCTCAGCTCTGTGGGCCCAGGCCAGAGTGAAGTAGTGGGATCACAGCTCACTGCTGCCTCGACCTTTTGGGTTCAAGCAATCCTCCTACCTCAGCCTCCCAAGTAGCTGGGAACCACAAGCAAGTGCTACCGCACCCGGTGAACTTTTAAATTTTTTGTAGAGATACAGTTTTACCTGTCGCCCAGGTTGGTCTCGAACTCCTGGGCTCAAGAGATCCTCGGCCACAGCCTCCTAAAGTTCTGGGAGAGCAAGTGAGAGCCACTGCACCTGGCCCAGTCATCTGTATTTCCGAAGCACTTACTGCACCATCCTATGTCAATTTATGTATGTCTCTCACCCCTCACTAGACTGAGGCTTTATTGACAGGGCTTGTCTAGTTCATTTCTGTGTTTCTGGTGTCCAGGAGAGTGAGCCTGGCACACTGAATTTTTTAATTGAACAGTTCAATTTTTTCACATTTTTCCTTCTTATATTAAGAACATAGTAAAACTGAGTAGCCACAAAAAAGAACTTTCTGGCTGGGCACGATGGCTCATGCCTATAATGCCAGAACTTTGGGAGGCCGAGGCTGGTGGATCACAAGGTCAAGAGATCAAGACCATCCTGGTCAACAAGGTGAAACCCCGTCTCTACTAAAAACACAAAAATTAGCTGGGCATGGTAGTGTGCGCCTGTAGTTCCAGCTACTCGGGAGGCTGAGGCAGGAGAATTGCTTGAACCCAGAAGGTGGAGGTTGCGGTGAGCCAAGATCGTGCCATTGCACTCCAGTTTGGGCAACAACAGCAAAACTCTGTCTCAAAAAAAAAAAACACCTTTCTGAGTTCACCATTCAGTTCTAGGTAAATAAAGAAAAGCTGCCTTCAAAATATGTGTGTGTGTGTATATATACAATTTTTGAGAACGGGTCTCACTCTGTCACCTATCCTGGAGTGCTGTGGTGAGATCTCAGCTCACTGCAACCTCTGTCTCCCAGGCTCAAGCAATCCTCTCACCTCAGTCTCCCAAGTAGCTAGTGGTGCATACCACCATACCCAGCTAATTTTTTGTATTTTTAGTAGAGATGGGGGTTTCGCCATGCTGCTCAGGTTGATCTCCAAGTCCTGGACTCAAGCAATCCACCCACTTTAGTCTCCTAAGTGCTGAGATCAAAGGCATGAGCCACTGTTCCTAGCTGCTCTACTTTCATTCCCTATCCCTTCACATTTTCCCATTCCTGTGGGCATTTGGGAAATACCTATTAAATCTAACACCAGCTTAAATGAAACATGACTATTCTGAGGTCAATATCCATATCCACTTCCAGGAAGATTAAAGTTTTTCAGTTGTCTGCAGATTGAAACTAAAAATATTCCATTATATCTTAGAAGTTCAACACATTAGACAGTTTATGCAGCAGCTGATAATCTGGTGGACTATACTAACAAGGGAATATACCTACATATCACAGCAGAGAATTAGTATATAATCACTGAAATGGGCCTCAAGATTTTTTTTTTTTTGGTGGGGGGTGGGGCTTTTACAACATGAAGATAGGGCCTTAAGATTATATGCAGTTTAGATTCTTTTGCTAAACAAACAAAGAATTATTGACTTGTTCAAGCTCATACTGCTAGTTAATGAACAAGCCAGAAGTAGAATTGTGATTTGTTCTAATTGTTTGGTCCACTATAGACTACTAACATTTTTAAGATTTTTTTTAAAACTGTCGTAAAATACACCTAATAAAATTTACCATCTTAACACTACTAACATTTATGTTTTCATTTACGAAGAAGGAAAGGCAACATATTAAACATCAGAGCAGGAAAGGTGAACATACTGCCACAGCAGCACAGATATTAAATCCTAACATTCCATTTTAACAGAAGAGATGTGGTGTTTGCATCAACAGCTCTGCAAAGAAAATTTGCTTTTTCTTCCCACATACAGCACGTGTCATCTACTGTGTAAAGGCCCATTCAGGAGAAATGCCAGTAATACTAGTCTATGTTTCATTAGTTTCATAGGAAAATTCTACAAAATCTCTCCCACAGAAGATTCATCTATGAAAATGAATCCATAATAATATGTGACAGGCAAGAAAAAGTACCATCCAACAACCCCAGGCATCATCCCCAATTATATTTTCCTTTATAAGAACAGCTCTTACTATTTCATCTATACTTGCTGGTGCCATCATCCCAACAGTGGTAAAAGGTTTTCTTGGTTCTAACCACCTTTTCCTTCCATCACGGTTCAAACATACTAAACTCTATCGCTGTATCGAGGTATAGAAATTCACTTTGCAATGTCCTGTTTCTTTACTGTTTCAGATCATGTTACCAAGCATAACTCATTTTCTTCCACCCACTTCCTTCTTTAAACTTTCTCTCCTTGAGAGTCAGTATATATTTCACCCGCAAATCAACTCTTTCTTAGTAGACATTGTGCACATGGGCAGAAACACCATCCAGGCAGTTCATCAAATAACTTTCCTCTTTAGAAAGGATAGAAATGCCCAGTTCTCAACAATTCCACAATTTATTACCCATGACTGCTTCACTGATGGACATTTCTTGTTGCTTCAGGGATTTAACACTGGCCTGGGAGTCACAGCATGAGGGTTGTGAGCTAATATTCAAAAAGCAGTGCGACCTTGAAAAAACTCACAAGTTTTCTGGGCTACTTCTTCTTCTATAAATTAATTGCAAAACTAAGATGTTTTTTCTTTTCTTTCTTTTTTTTTTTTGAGACAGGGTCTCGCTCTGTCGGCCGGGCTGGAGTGCAGTGGCATGATCATGGCTCATTACAGCCTCGACCTCCTGGGCTCAAGCAATTCTCCCACTTCAGCCTCCCAAGTAGCTGGGATCACAGGTGTGAACTACCATGCTCTGCTAAGTTTTACAAATTTTGTAGATATAGAGCCTTGCCATGTTGTCCAGGCTGGTCTTGAACTACTGGGCTGAGGAGCTCTTCCTGCCTTGCCCCCGGCTCTAAAATGATTTTTAAATGGCTTTCTAACTCAAAGACTATACCATTGATTATAATATTGGGTATTAATTAGAAAACTTAAAAAAATTAAAAGCCTAGAAACAGTTATAATCTGTTGAATAATTTAATACTTCCATATTCATGTCCTTAAAAGTAACATTTACTAGTGGCAGGTTCATCTTACAGGTCTACAATTTATTCTATGAGAAAATTCTGGGCTGGGTGCAGTGGCTCACGCCTTCAATCCCAGCACTTTGGGAGGCTGAGGCAGGTGGATGACGAGGTCAGGAGTTTGAGACCAGCCTGGCCAATATGGTGAAACCACGGCACTACTAAAAATACAAAAAAATTAGCTGGGCATGGTGGTGCACGCCTGTAATCCCAGCTACTCAGGAGTCTGAGGCAGAAGAATTGCTTGAACCCGGGAGGTGGAGGTTACAGTAAGCTGAGATCCTGCCATGCACGCCAGCCTGGGCGACAGAGCGAGCAAGACTCCACCTCAAAAAAAAAAAAAAAAAAAAGGAAGAAACTTCTGAACAACAAAGATTTTAGAATTTCTTCTATATAAAAACAACATATTTGTGGATTTCCTATATTAAAATTTCCACACTGTTCTGACTCCTGAAATTACAACAGAGACAGAAACAGAAACTACACAAAAAGAAAAAGTGAAATGTCTGCTTAGAGCATAGGGGAAACACTCATCAGCTGCCAGAGCCTGAAAATCATTTAACTGCCAGTGTGGGTGATCTGACTGATACATTGCACGGGTGCAATAAATAAAGGGTTTTAAGACAACAATTAAGTAGGCAGGGGGTTCCCTGCTTATGAGTTAGTCTCATGCTGTACCTTCATCTCGTGGTGCTGGTCCAGCTGCTCCAGGTCCAGAGGGCTTTCCCCATTTTCCCTCTCTTGTACCTTGGCTTCAGTTCCTGCCCCTTCTTCTTCTCGGGGGAGCACTGGGCCTATGCCTGGAGTCCTGTAGCTACTGTCAGAAGCATTTCCATCGCAGTCATTTGTTGTGGGTGATGCAGAAGCTGTGGCAGTTTCATCTCTTTCTCCATTCACTATGTGCGTATCAAGCAAGGGTTCAGAAGCCTGAATAGAAGTATCTGGGCTAAAAGTGGCAGCTTTCTCCTCCTCACATTCCATCTGGTTTTGTGCTGCCATTACACCGTTGGCCACACAAGTCTGTGCACCCTGAGTCTGATCTGTATCATTGCCCTGCCTCCGTGGCAAGTGCTGGGACAGGAGTTTTTGTTGAGGTGTGGTTGTCAATCCATGCCTTCCCGGGGTTCTAGGAACATTTAGGTTCACAGCAGAATCTTTCTTCAAATCACTATAATTTGATAATGAGCTAAAAGATAAAATACAAAGGAAGCATGAAAACATTGGCATGGAAAAGTTCTAGAATTATGACAAGTTTATTCCAGTTGAAAAGGAACATTTGCTGATTTTTTTTCTATCGCCGAGGTTTTAGAAACACAGATTTGAATATTCTCAGTGTAGCCCCCTGTCTCTTTGGGTGCTATCCACATTTAAATAAATATTTAAATGAAGAAGATGACCCTGAGCTCTACCTATCGGGACTCAAACATTTCCTTGGGTTATTTATTATTTATTCAACACTTAACTTCTGTTGATCCTTGTACTGTTTAATAACGTGACTAGTTAGTAAAGACTTAGATATAGTACTTACATTTAATAAAATAATTTCTTCCTAACATTTTTACTTACTGATCTTTGTTAACATTTTTAAATAGGTATAGCCAGTCCTTCATTTATGAACAAATTATGAACCAACAAGTTACTTTTATTTGGAAGGCATAATGCATACTCTCAAAACTTTTTTATTCATGCTGCCATAGCCTTTTAACTGGTCTCTGTTTCTACCCTGATCCCCTACAATAGAACCTCTACAAGTCAGTCACAAAACTCTGAGGGCTTCCTCATACACTCAGGGGAAAACTAAAGTCCCAAAGACAGCCTATGAGATTCTACATACTATAGTTCCCGAAGCGCCTGGCCTCATTAGATTCCATTCTTCCCTAACTGTGTTCTTGCCATACTCCCTGATGCTCCCCATTCTTTTTTTTTTTTTTTTTTTGAGACGGAGTTTTGCTCTTCTTACCCAGCCTGGAATGCAATGGTGCGATCTCGGCTCACTGCAACCTCCGCCTCCTAGGTTCAAGCAATTCTCCTGCCTCAGTCTCTGGAGTAGCTGGGACTACAGGCGCGCACCACTATGCCCAGCTAATTTTTGTATTTTTAGTAGAGACAGGGTTTCACCTTGTTGACCACGATGGTCTCAATCTCTTGACCTCGTGATCCACCCGCCTCGGCCTTCCAAAGTGCTGGGATTATAGGCGTGAACCACTGTGCCCGGCCGATGCTCCTCATTTTTAATAACCAAGTGTATATCTTGGGGTCCTTGCAGCTGCTGTTCTCTGCTTAGGACAATCTCCCCCAAAACACTGGTATTCCTTCTCACCATTCAGATTTCTGCTCAGGTAACACCTCTCCAAAGAGGCTTTCCTAGATTCACCTATCTATAACAGCACTCTCCATCACTAACTCCACATCTTATTTTATTTTTCTTTCAAGTCCTTATTACTGCTTGACATAATAGTAGTCCTAATAGGAGAATGAAACTTACTTCCAATATAGAACAATATTCCAACAGAAATATCTGTAAAGATTTTAATCTAGGAGTCTGGGAGTAGGGTGGAGAATGGAACACAAAACTCTGGGCTTCAAGTTCAAAGATTCCTGTGACCTAAATGAGAAGAAGTAAAGCAACTGAAACTCGGTGAGGGTGGGCTTGCTCTCTGCTTTATTCCTACCTCTTAGCATGGTGCCTGACACAGGGGAAGTACTCAATAAATATTTGATGAGCTTTGAATAACCATGATAATGATGATGATTATGACAATAATAACAGCCGGAAACACTTCTAAAGTGTTTACTAAGAACCACAAACTACACGAAGCCCCTTACAATAATTATCTTGTTTCATCCTCACAGTAATTCCAAAGACAGGGATCCCACAGAGAAATCTACGCTTCGAAAATTAATGTGGCCAGTGTCACAGGGTAACAAGCAGAAAAGCCAGAGCTCAAACATGAATCCAACTCTAAATCCCATGGTCTTTGCCCCAAGTTATGATGTCCTGGAGCAGAAGGACAGAATGAGCATCAGTTGAATAGGCTGCAGTCAAAATGTGGGAAGAAAGTCTAGAGCTGATTATCTTCCCCAGTGCAGGTAATGGAATAAAGGGAGGTGGGGAAGGAAACAGCAGGCAGCCCGGTCCCAAGGACAATGCTCAGATGTGTCCCCTTCGCTTTTACTCCACCCTTCCCAGTCACTGCTGATCTGGACTGGAGCATGAAACGGAATAAAAGTAGACAGCAAGAAAGTGATGAGAGAGGAAAAAAGATACAGGTAAAGTCCAACACCAGAGGAAAGAAAGGGATAAACTGAGTAGGGGGGAAAATGTCATATATATAAAACTTAGAGGTGGGCAATTGTTTTTTTTTTTTTTTTGAGATGGAGTTTTGCTCTGTCGCCCAGCCTAGAGTGCAATGGTGCGATCTCAGCTCACTGCAACCTCTGCCTGCCGGGTTCAAGCAATTCTCCTGCCTTAGCCTCCCAAGTAGCTGGGACTACAGGTGTGTGATACCACGCCCAGCTAATTTTTTGTACTTTTAGTAGAGACGAGGTTTCACCATGTTAGCCAGGATGGTCTTGATATTCTGACCTCGTGATCCGCGGAGGCAGGCAATACTTAAATGTTATACATTCTTGAATTGAGATTTGCCCCCTAGAAGAGGACATCTTTGGCCTGGCTAATTTCCCAAGTAGTTTTTAGAGATTTTAATCAAACTGTCCTCCTCCTGCCCGCATCAGTCTCTGGGTTCCCTGGTGGAAAGATCCTCAACAGATCCTCTGAAACAAATTTAAGCATTTTCAGATCTTGTCTAAAGGATGGCTTTGAATGAGAGCTGCAAATGTCCCATAATAAGTAACGTCAAGAGTATGAGTGGGAGGGAGGGAAGGAGACAGGGAACGATTAGGTGGGTAACGAGTTAGTAAAACCAGTAGTTGAACCAGTACTTGGATTCCTGCTGCTTTGTGGATGCCAAACCATAAGGGAAAATAGCTGACCTTGGAGTATCCATGGTAAAAACCAATGTTCAGGTCTACAGAAACATAATCTTATTTCTAAAATCTTAAAGTCCTTCCTTGGTTAAAAAGAGTACTCTCGCTTACTCTGAAAAAAGAAATAAAGGGGAACAAGAGAAAGAAAGAAGAAAGAAAACCACAGTAAAAATTAAAGAAAATCTACTTGTTCCCAATCTCTCATCTTAATAAAATGGTGTAACTTGGAATTTTTTTTTTTTTTTAAGGTAGGGTCCCACTCCATCACCCAGCCTGGAGTACAGTGCCACAATCTCAGCTCACTGCAGCCTTGACCCCCTAGGCTCAAGCAATCCTTCCACGTCAGGAAGGACCAAGTAGCTGGGATCACATACGTGCACCACCATGCCTGGCTAATTTTTTGTATTTTTTGTAGGGACAGGGTTTTGCCATGTTGCCCAGGCTGATCTCAAACTCCTGAGCTCAAGCAGTCCAACACTATGGCCTCCTAAAGTGCTGGGATTACAGACATGAGCCACCATATCCAGCCATGTAAGGTCTTAACAACAGTATGATATGACCATGATGACTATCCACTCTTAACAGGTGTTGGTTCTTCCTATCAATTTCCTGTGACAACTAAGAATCTCCCTCTATTTACAAAGCTAGTCTAAGCTCTCACAAAGAGGGCTAAAACTGAAAATGACCCTTGCAAAGACAAAGGCATCACTCAACAGTAAATACAAATCTTGTACTGAAGTTCTATAGATCCAATGCAGTATTAACCCATCACACACTTTTGGGGCCAGTCTGTAGTGGTAATACCTCACTGAGAACATATCACTGTTTTTCATATTGGCAGTGGACTCTGCCACCAATAATATTTCTTCACCAGACTGTCAAAGCACACTATATCCAATTTACACAGAACTTGCTTTAAAAAAAATCTTAAATCATAGCACATTTTTCCTTAGATGAATTAAAACTTCAACCTTTGCATCAAAATGGGACTGAATTTGTGAAGCTTGAATGATTAAAAAACATTAAGTGGAAAAAGTACAAACATTTCACATGTAGAGGAATCTGAAACAATGCAGAGCGGGTTAACCAAAATGGCAAGGACGAGAGGACGTAGCCTTTGGAATACTGATGCTTTTAAGGCTCCAGAAAGTTATCCCTGAAACCTAGGGATGCAGGCTCTGTCATGCTTATGTTGTTATTAAGTCAGGGCTCCAGCCCCTCCTTCTATTACACAGTCACTAGGGATGGCCCCTGGAATTAGCAAACATGAGAGGTTACTTAACCCAAGCAGCAAACAAATGTTTTAAATGGAATTAAACCATTCTAGTAAAGATCACTGTAATCCAAGATAGCAAAGGTCTTGTAAAACCTACTTCACAGGAGGAGATGCTGAAGTTTAAATATTTATGACCAAAGTTCCCACAATTTGAAGAGGCTTCTAAGTTAATTTTCTCCAGAACTTGTAACTTTGTAAAATAGAGGGAGGCTCTGAGTTGTTTACAGGAAATTGACAGGAAGAACCCCCATCTGTTAGACCCATTTTAAAAATGAGGGACACTGCAGGTTTTGTGCTTGGTCACAATTCCCAGAAGATACTCAAACTATTTCCAAGTTATAATTTCATTACATAAGTAACAGTAAATCCCACAAATAAATAATAAAATCACTCTAATAGGAAACAAGTCCCAAATATTACACTGGAATGAAAATATTTGGTTTCAAGGATAAAAGTGAAGTTATATACATTCTGTTTAATTATACATAGACTTTTGACGGCAGATAATAAAATCCTATTGATACATTTTTTTAAAAATTATATTTAAGTCAGCAATAAAATTTTTTATCAAAAGACTAAGAAAAATAAATAAATGAGAATTTTATAAGGAGAAAAGCATTTTAAGTGGGTTTCTGTTTATCTTTAAATGAGAAATATAATATTTCACCTATCTTGTTTTTTAGAACACTAGGACTAAAGAATATACATAAAACTGAAATTTAACATACATTTTGCTATTGGTAATATCTCTTTAAAAACCTACAATATGATGGAGTATGTGGAGATGAGAAACAGCGACTGAATGGGTACAGAAGACCCACATTAAATAAAATGGGTCAGAAAGAAGAGAGGGCCCAGGGAGGAGACAAGCACACAAGGGTCACATTCACGAACATACAAGTGAGAAACGAAGAGATAGAGGCCACTGCTCAGCCTTTCCAACCCAGATATCCAGTGTCCCACAGAATGACCCACAAGGAGCAACACATAGAGAATGACACACAGAGATACAGAGGCAACAAGAGAAAGCACACAGATACAAAAGCACACGATTTCATGAAAAAGCTGGTGGCCTACAGTGCTGCACATAGGTAACACATTGTAAATGACAGTTCATATTAGGGCAAGATTAAGTCATTGGTTTTAAAAACTCACCCTTTCTAAAGGCCTACCATACCTAATGGAATAAGATCCTCTATGCTTTTTATTTAGAAAACCTATAACTATCATTTTTTTGAAAATCAGCTTTCTTCTTCCCCTGCCTTCTCCCATTGTAAATTAGCTCTTACCTGCCTCCTTCAAAGCGACTGATGAGATCTGATACTTTACTGGGTTTTTCTTTTGAGACACAAGAAGCAGAGGCAGGTTTAATTTCCTCCATCCTTGGTTTTGCACTAGGTAAAGCTTTATGCTTGGGGGTTTGCTGTATATTGGACGAAGGTGAATTCTGCAGGTGTAATGGCTTTGGAGGCACTGTAGAAAAAGAATAGAATTCAGTATTTCACTGATATTTTGTTCAATAACAATAAAAAGTCTTGTGTCCTGGGTACAAAAATATTCAGCATTACAGAACTACTGTAAAGGGCGGGGGGCGGGGGTTGTCAAATTTTGAACTAAACCATAACCAAAAGACTTTTGTTCCTCTTGGACATTTGCTTTGTGCCTTTTGGAAATCCCATCTCCTAACTTAATTGGTTCTTTTAATTTTATTGCATCTTAAATATGGCAATATTAAACAACTAAGAATACACATAAGGCTAAAGCATTCTAAGGTCTATTACAGATAACACAGCAGTTATTCATCTAAATAGGGAAAAGGTGGTGCTAAATTTAAAACCAAATCCTATAGACACATTGTCTGCTACAAAACAGATTTTCTAATAGAGTGATAATAGATATACCAGAAACCACAGCTAATGAGTTAAACAACATAAAAGCCAACAAAGCAACAAACAACGGTAATACAATGTTGCATTAACATAGCATCTCCTTCCCATTTAAGGAAAGCATTTTATCTCATTTGGTGTTTGATGAAATTTTATACTTCATAAGGTCTCTGAGGTAGGTACCACTATCGTCCTCCTATGTCTACGAAAGCTTAGAGAGGTTAAGTGACTGGCCTGGGGTAACAAGCCTAATCTAATTTTATGACTGGTATCCAGACTTTTGCTCTTACCATTACTAGCACTTCTCCTCATCATAAATGCAGCAAAAGCAGTGAAGGAGCCGGTGCGGTGGCTCACACCTATAATCCTAGCACTTTGGGAGGCTGAGATGGGTGGATGACAAGGTCAGGAGTTCAAGCCTGGCCAACATGATGACACCCCATCTCTACTAAAAAAAAAAAAAAAACATACAAAATTAGCCGGGTGCGGTGGTGCATGCCTGTAATCCCAACTACTCAGGTGGCTGAGGAACATGAATCACTTGAACCTTGGAGTTAGAGGCTGCAGTGAGCCAAGATTGCACCACTGCACTCCAACCTGGGTGACAGAGTGAGACCTTGTCTCAAAAAAGAAGCGGGTGAAGGGATGAAGTTTTACTATCACTGTCTGCTATGTTACAGAGCTGCTGCTACAGAAGCGGGTGAAGGGATAAAGAAGTTTTACTATCACTGTCTGCTATGTTACAGAGTTGGTGCTACAGGTTTGGTTGTTTGTCCCCTCCATATCTCATGCTGAAATCTGGTCCCCAGTGTTAGACGTGGGAACTACAGGAGGGATTTGAGTCATGGGCGCAGATCCCTTATGAATGGCTTGGTACCATTCTTGTTAGTGAATAGGTTCTCTCTCCATTAGTTCCTGCAAGACTGGTTATTAAAGAGCCAGACACCTCCCCATCTCTTTCTTGCTTCCTCTCTCTCCATGTGATCTTTACATATCTTGACTGTCCTATACCTTCTGCCATGAGTGGAAGCAGTCTGAGGCCCTCACCAGAAGTTAAGCAGATGCTGGTACTGTGCTACCAGTACAGTCTGCAGAACTGTGAGCCAAAGAAGCCTCTTCATAAATTACCCAGTGTCAGGTATTTCCATGTAGCAACATTAAACAGGGTAAGATGGTTGACCTGCATCAATATTCCACAAATAATCTGCCTACTTCCTAAGTCCTTCAATAAATTAATAGGATAAAAACAGATTACTTCATGAAATACTAAAATCTACAGAATTTCCCTAACACACTGTAGATGAAAAAATATAATAGGCCATAAGTGCACAATCAGTACAAAAATTACTACCCTTTTGAAAACCAGTATTATTCTTCTCTAAGATTAACATTCAGGATAAAATATTATAACACGTGCATATTTTTTAATAAGCGGTGTTGACAGATCAAATAGAATCATCTTTTTTCTTCTTTAAATCCTTTTCATACCTTCTGGAAGAAGGGTGAGAAATCATGTCGCCTCCTAATTACATGCTCCATTTTCCCTCAGCTGGTTTCCCTGGTTTTTAGTAATCTCATCTCTTTTATAAACTCAGTTAGCTGACAGTTGGCTCATGCTCACTGGCCTAGATTTCATCATTTCAGTGCCAGTTATCAATTTATTATAGGGAAGGAAGAAAACTCACAATGAACTACAAGTGGAGCAATTAATTCACTTTATTCCCTTCAATATAAACAAGAAGAAAATCTCAATTTAAAAAGGGCATGCTTCTTTTTGTGAAAAATGATATCTTCCAACATGTTTGTGTGTGGGGGTGATTAATACAGTGTCATTTTGGAACAAAAGGGCTTTTATATAAGTGGAATATTTGTTAAGTTTACTGAAAAAAAGTCCTGTGTAGAGTAAATATGTACTAATGTAGCAAAACAGGAAAATCTCCTATCATAAAAACCTTTTAACATTAGGAGTAATAAATATGAACTAATGCAGTAAAACAGAAATACCTCCCACCAAAAAAAAGGAAATATCTTAAGGTCATGAATAATTCAACATTCTTAACTAGAATAGTAAAAGAAGGAAGTGAATATAATTTTGTGTGCTAAAATTGTTATGAAATAACTCATCCATCTCCCTAGAGTTTACTCACTAAACATGCCCTATTTGTTATGTGCCAGATGGGTGAAAAATTAAAATACAATGATACCTATCACTTTCTCAGGGATAACTCCAACCACTTTCCCAATCTAAACTGTGTCCATCTCTTAAACTGTTTCATAAGCACTGTGTACTTTCTCCAAATTGCTTATCACAATTTGTGGTATAATTATCAAATAATTAGTAACAAGTAGGAAAGCTGCAGTAAAATACTAAATCTATTACAGATTTAAAGTTTTTGTCTTTCCTCCACAAGGCAGGAGTTGATGAAGGTAAGGAATTTACCACTTTTGATCACAGCTTTATTTATTTATTTGTTATTTTTTGAGACATAGTCTCACGCTGTTGCCCAGGCTGGAGTGCAGTGGTACAATCTCAGCTCACTGCAACCTCTGCCTACCAGGTTCAAGTGATTCTCCTGCCTCAGCCTCCTGAGGAGCTGGGATTATGTGCGCCCTCCACCACACTGGCTAATTTTTATATTTTTGGTCGAGATGGGTTTTACCATAATGGCCAGGCTGGTCTTGAACTCCTGACCTTGTGATCTACCCACCTCGGCCTCCCAAAGTGCTGGGATTACAGGCATCTGCCACCACGCCTGGCCTACAGTTATATTTATAGTGACTATTTGCATTATGTTTGGCAAATGTTTGGAACATTATAATTAGTGTATCATTAAGGAGATCATCTACTAGCAGAGAGGCAGTTTAATGCTGTTGACAAAAGTGAATACTGGATACATAGGTGTTTTAGAAGCACAGAGGAGATATCAAATTCAGCAAGGGAGAAAATGCAAATGTACAGTCAATCAGTAAATATATATATATTTTTAAAAAGAACAAATGGTACATGAATATATCAGATCTGAAGATGGTACAAGAATGGCTAGAGTTAAACACACTGGCTTAGAAAAAATTCTATTGGACAGATACGTTGGTTCATGCCTGTAATCCCAGCACTTTGGGAGGTTAAGGTGGGTGGACCACAAGATCAAGAGATTGAAACCATCCTGGCCAACATGATGAACCTTCGTCTCTACTAACTTTAAAGTATAATAATAATTTTAAAAAATAATAACAATTGGGCATGATGGTGTGCACCTGTAGTCCCAGCTACTCGGGAGGCTGAGACAAGAGAATCGCTTGAACCTGGGAGGCAGAGGCTGCAGCGAGCCAAGATCATGTCACTGCACTCCAGCCTGGTGTGACACAGTGAGACACTGTCTCAAAAAAAAAAAAAAAAACCAGAAAAGAAAAAGAAAAAAGGCTGGGTATGGTGGCTCACACCCATAATCCCAGCACTTTG